TATATAGTATGAATTTTGTGCAAAACTTACTGAATTACCTGTATTTATTATAGAACGTAAACAATTAAAAGACAAGTTTTCAACTAGCTGTAGTAAACTCTCAATGAATACTGCGCAGGCGCACATGTACTACCATAGAAATCACTTTCGGCGCTTTCCTTCTTTTTCTTACGACTAGCAAAGACTTATTTCGTATGTATTTCATTGTTTGTAATGTTAACGCATAAAATGAATTTAAAAAAACCTGACTTTATAACATTTTGGAAAAAAATCATTTTGAAAAATCTAGATGTGATAGAAAAAACCGGGAACAGATTCAGAGCATCAAAATCTTCATATTTATGACATAATTATTTAAAGGAGGATTTTGTTGCAGACCAGTGATTTTTAATCGCCGATAACTCCCCTCCCCTGGAGACAAACACCTTCCTGAACTTGAGAGCTTTAACTACCGCTATGCCTAACGTCCATAAAACCTCCATAAATGTGATCCTCAATGATATGAGATCTCCGTCGCTTTAAATCACTGACCTCACAGAGTTCAAGGTATATTATTGCGTTCGCTAGATTTTATTATTCCGGTCGTTTCTCTGTCCTAAAAATTCCGGGATACAAATGTACGTTACCATTTTCTCATTTGACCATTAAATCAAGATTACTGTTGACGGGAATAGAAATGCCTTTTCAGATCGCGTTCACTTTGCCTCCATCCGCCATATTTTTCTGAGCTGCACATCCTGGGTACAAGGCACATGTTGTGAGATCTGATATTAATCTTCATCTGTTGAGGAAATCTGGCACGACTTCGTATAGCTTATTTTTAAACTTACTACCGTTTATATAGGACAATTTGTCAAGGCGTCAGTTCAGAGACACAATCGCACATCTTGAAGGCTTAGGTTCTCTTTCATTTCCATCAACCAGGACTAGAGCATTAAGGAAAGCTTTGTCAAGCAAAGCAAGTCATCACTTTAAAAATACGCGTGTTATGGCTTCAACGAATAAGAAACACGAATTAAAAGATTAGAATAACAATTGCAGGCGCTTTATGTGAAACAATACGAGTAGTACCAATGCTAGACGACATTAAATAACCAACTTTTTAGAGTGTTAGGCACCGTAGCCTATCATTTGTTATTACGGGATGTTAAAGTCAGACGTATAAATTGGCCGGATTTCGCCTTAACATAAGAACAGAACAACACTGGTTTCCATTAAACATTCAATTGTGATCGTTTTGAAAGAAACCCTACTCAAAAAGTTTCTATTGGTAGAAATGGCAATAATTTAACTTGATGGAAGTTAATTTCTGCTGAAAAACTATTCTATAGGACCATAGGAGTTTTGATTAAACAAAACTTTGCACACAATGTATAAGCTTATAAAAAGGGAAACGGAAAATGCAAAAATATACAGGGTTGGCTTTGAATTTTCTGAGAAAAGGTACACTATGCATTTTGTGCACCCTTGATAAACAGAAATGATAATTCTGAAAACTATTGAATGGGGTTGAATCTGATGCAAGTTTTTTTTGGTAAAAAAAGTCAGCGCTCCAGCTCTAGAAAGGAGTCCGAGGGATTGATGGGTTGCCGGACTCAAGGTTTTTTCTAGAGGATGCACCATATTATGTGATATCGGTCTTCTTCTTTTGTATTGATTTATCCAAATACGCAATGAAATTGGGACATCCTGTATAATTGAAATTATTTCATAAACAAATGTGCCGCCAATAATCATGTATAATAACCCATAAGCATACGCTTTTATTTTCTTTAACACGCTTTTATTAGCTTAGCCTGTATACAGGGTGTCCCAGAAGTCGACGTCAAGCCGAAAGCGGGTGATAGGCAAAGTCATAACAGCTATCAGAAAAATATTTAAAAAAAATTTATGTATGTGTTTTGAAAATTATAGGTCATTGAAAAAAATATAGAAATTTCACACCCTACGGCAGTCTGTCAACTCCTGTTACTACAAATATTAAATTTTTTTGGATTTTATTTTTACAATGTAATGATGAATAATGCATCTTCAAACTGGTGTCTCAACCTCACTGCCAACTTTTCTCGTTCTGGAAAAATTGCCACTTATTTCCCAACCAAGTATTCCAAAGTAAAACTTTGCTCAACTTTAACTGGCAGTACTGGAAAAAATGTACTACGAGAGTTTGGCAAGTAACCTTAAAAGTTGGCGCATTTAATACGGATTCCAAAATGGTATAACACTTAGAAGATTGCTCGTTAACTTATGCACAATTTTTATTTGAAGAAAAACTGATGAAAATTTTTCAAAATTTCCTAATTAAACAGCGATTATGAAAACGCACAAGGACCCTTAAGGATAACTGTTTGCACAACAGTGGGCGTCAAAATGCTGCTGATGATGATTTACCTTTACAGCAAATGCTCAAACTGTTTTCCTTCAGCCGCAATACACGCTCGACATCTTCTTAAAAAAGATCGGGTTATTAAACGAGCGAATCCACGGTTATTAACAAACTCAGCTGCTTCCAATAGTCTTTGCCGTAGCTCAGCTACATTTTGAATTGGCTTGAAATACACTTTTTCTTTTACAGTTCCCCAGTAAAAAAAATCTAACGGATTCAAATCTGGTGACCGGGCTGGCCACGGTATTGTACCAGACCGCCCTATCCATCTGCCTGGAAAGTTTTGATCGAGATACTCTCTCACTGAGAGTGCATAGTGCGCTGGGCAGCCATCATGCTGAAACCACATGTCCCTGTAAATACTCAGTGGCACGTCCTCCAATAAATTTTCTAAATGATTTTGCAAAAAACCTAAATAAACCTCAGCAGTCAAAGTCTCTGGGAACTCAAACGGACCGATTATTTTACCATTTAAAATTCCTGTCCAATGGTTTATCTTGAAGCGATATTGAGATTTATCTTCTCCCATGAAATGTGGGTTTGCTACGTGCCACTCGTGTAAGTTATGCAGGTTCATGTACCCATCTTTCTTAAATGAGGTCTCAAATGACCATAAAAATTTTTCAAAGAACCGTGGATCTTCCCTGTGTCTTTCTAACATTGTGCGACAAAGAGCAACTCGGGGCTCATAATCCCGGGGCAGAAGAGCTTGAACACGCTGTACGTGCCACTGAGTATTTACAGGGACATGTGGTTTCAGCATGATGGCTGCCCAGCGCACTATGCACTCTCAGTGAGAGAGTATCTCGATCAAAACTTTACAGGCAGATGGATAAGGCGGTCTGGTACAATACCGTGGCCAGCCCGATCACCTGATTTGAATCCTTTAGATTTTTTTACTGGGGAACTGTAAAAGAAAAAGTGTATTTCAAGCCGATTCAAAATGTAGCTGAGCTACGGTAAAGACTATTGGAAGCAGCTGAGTTTGTTAATAACCGTGGATTCGCTCGTTTAATAACCCGATCTTTTTTAAGCAGATGTCGAGCGTGTATTGCGGCTGAACTAAAACAGTTTGAGCATTTGCTGTAAAGGTAAATCATCATCAGCAGCATTTTGATGCCCACTGTTGTACAAACAGTTATCCTTAAGGGTCCTTGTGCGTTTTCATAATCAATGTTTAAGTAGGAAATTTTGAAAAATTTTCATCAGTTTTTTTCAAATAAAAATTGTGCATAAGTTAACGAGTAATCTTCTAAGTATTATAACATTTTGGAATCGTTATTAAATGCGCCAACTTTTAAGGTTACTTGCCAAACTCTCGTAGTACATTTTTTTCCAGTACAGCCAGTTAAAGTTGAGCAAAGTTTTACTTTGGAATACTTGGTTGGGAAATAAGTGGCAATTTTTCCTGAACGAGAAAAGTTGGCAGTAAGGTTGAGACACCAGTTTGAAGATGCATTATTCATCATTACATTGTAAAAATAAAATAAAAAAAAGATAATATTTGTAGTAACAGGAGTTGACAGACTGCCGTAGGGTGCGAAATTTCTATATCTTCTTCAAAGACCTATAATTTTCAAAACACATACATAAAATTTTTTTAAATATTTTTCTGATAGCTGTTACGACTTTGCCTATCACCCGGTTTCGGCTTGACGTCAACTTCTGGGACACCCTGTATATGTTTGTACGTATGTATGTCTACATGTATCGGAATCTTTGAGCATAACTTTCACCAATTTCCAGAAGTTTGATGAATGTGAAACTTCGCACACGTATCAAGGTCCGATGACAATGCAATAATTTGATAACAGTCTTCCATTGTCCTTATTTGGACCGCCAGGATTGATAAATTCTTTTATAGATAGTGGAGTAAGAGAGATAGAGCTATCGCGCGATCTGCGCATGCGTGCAGTTTCGGACTCACTCTTTGTTGGTTCGGGCACTCGGCACAGCACAACGAAGGCAGATACTTATTCAAGTAGTCCATTCTCACCTTGTTTATTGCGAATGTTGTCATTAATCCTGAGTTGAGCTTCGACCGTCCACAAGATGCAAGGTTGTATAGTCCATCATGCAGTCATTTATTTAGACTCGCGACTGTTTGCTGCTGGAGAAGCTTATGTAATACTTAGTCGTGTAAGATCTTTAAACGGTATTCGGGCTGAAGAACTTGATTGCTCTAAGTTAACAGGAAAAAAGCCGATGTAACAGTGAGGCTTTAAATGAAATGATTAGATTACGAAATGATTCGTAAGACATTTCAATACCACAGAACTAATTTTTACTCTGAATTGAATTATTCTGTTAATAACCTAATTTTTATTATAACTTTATTTTGATGTCATTAATTATGATAGCTATGGTAGTTCGATCATCTACTACTGTAATATAAACTCTTTGTAATTAAAAATTATTTTCTACTTTTTAGTTCGGTTAGTTATAAAAGCGTGTTTTTTAGTTTTTTTAAATCATTATTTATTTTCAAAAAGCTTTTGCCCAAGAGTAATAATATGTATTCGCATAAATGTTAAATGAAATCATGGAATAAATACCCTCTATATCTTTAACCAACTGGAGTCAACTGGTACTAACAGTAGTTTATTTTGGATAGGTAATTATGGGTGGCGGAAGACAGTGCCTGCAATCGGATGTGAAAGGGTCCCCAGCAGATCCAATAGACACGTGGAGTTGTTACAGCAAAGACGGCAGGGATTTAATCAGGGACTGGATTGTGGACAAATCGAAACGTAAAGCGACATTCCAGGTATTTGAGGAAACACGTGAGGCTATGAGAACCTTTTGCGTAGATAAATTGCAACTGTACATATATTTGCTAGACTATACCACTTTATTGAAATCCCAATTAAAGACATGGGTGTCACTTTGACTATTAGTTGACCTATGTGCCTTAGAATCAGAGAAAATATATCCTCAGCCAACAAAATGTTAGATTTTAGGCACTTTCCCAATACTGATGTACTCAGCATGCTTTGTTTGATTCAGGGTGAGTTCTTAGTGCGTGGTCGGTCGTCAGTTCTCTTATTATAAGAAGATTTCGCAAAAACCTTCTTACTTCTTTTTAATTTATGACTACGTTTCAAATGGAATGCCCTGTATATTTTAGCACATTCTGGAAGGCTTCGACGAAGTAAGAATCTTGATATACAGCACTCAACCTAATTTAAATGGAAACGTACAACAGTTATCCGTTATTGCACATGATGCCAATTTGACGATATTTGTAGCAACATACCCTATACATTAATTTTAATGATGAACACAGGCAGTGGCGGATTTAGAGGGGGGCGCGCCCCGCCCTAGACGTCTCACACTTGCTTTTGTAATCTATCACCATTGTGTTGCTTTCTGACACATCATGGCGACAGAGGCACACTAACTATAAGTTACAGCTATAGGAACTGAGCATTGCGATTTTTGGTATCCTGTGCTATTCCAGACGCTGTCCCTCTTCGACATCACTTACGTTTACAGCGCAATTCTTACGAGTTATACGTATATTGTGACAAATCTAAGTCTAAGCAATATATTAGCTATACAGATTGCATTTAAAAAGTGATTTATGTTCTGTGTTGCTCAATAGTAATTTGAAAAGTGTGTAAAGTTTGACTGATTTTGTTCGGGGTTGGTGTTGCAGCGAAGCACTATTAGTCTAATCATATATTAGACGAAGATACCCCTCTTTTGCGAAATAATTCTAAAGTCTGGTTTTATTGCTGCAAGTTGCTCATGGGGGTATTCAAAACATGCACGCATAAAATGGGTACACCAATTTTTGTGGGAAAACTTTTTATTCGACAATAAAGAAGAAGAAAACGTGTTTTTTTGGGATTCAATCTAAATAATGGCATGAACGAAAAAAACTTTCTTTATAAGATTTTTAAGTATTTATGAGACCTAAAAAATGAGACCATACGTAAAAAGATCCGTCTAATAGCACGTGTTGGTAATGCGACGACGGTTTCTCGCAGATATTTGAAACTCTTCAAATTCGTAGGATTGGTACTTCTAAATAACTACAACAATATTGGTCAAGTGGTTTGTGAGAATTTCTAGCTGTTTATCCCAAGACATCTACTTTGCGGCCATCACTACTAGTTTTTTTGAGCAATATACATGGGTTATACCAAAGGGCATTTTATAGCAAAATACACTAGTTTACCTTGCCGATATGAATTGAAAACTATTCCAGAAGATAAATGTTATTTTTATGCAAAAAATGGATGGGTTACGTTTTTCTTCTAAACAAATGCAAACAATTTCGTATTTGTGAGTATCTCGCAACCAAAGATGATAGACACATCCGCTTTGTTTTAAAATGTGTATAGTAACGTATGTATTTCGAATATCGTAGCGCATTTGCGCAATTACTCACAAATACGAAATGTTTGAATTTGCTTTGAAGAAAAAAACGTAACCTTCGTTTCTCGCATAAAAATAACATTTATTTTTCGGAACGGTTTGTAATTCATATCGGCAAGGTAAATTAGTGTATTTTGCTGTAAAATTCTCTTTAAACTAATCCTGTATATAGTTCAATAAACTAGTAGTGATATCCGGAAAACAGGTGTTTTGGGATAAACAATTAGAGATTCTCGAAAAACTACTTGACCATTATACTCCAACTTTGCTGTTGTTATTCAGAAGTATGAATCCTGCGGATTTGAAAAATTTCAAGTAGTTGCATAAAATTATCGTCGCATTACCAACAAGTTCCAAAACCTGCATTTTGCCTGGTTTTTCGGCCATAACATTTTTGCTATTAGTCGGATCTTCTCACGTGTAGTCTCATTCTGTAGGTCTCATAAATACCTAAATATCTTGCATAAAAAGTTTTTTCGTTCCTATCAACACCTTCGATTGAATTCCAAAAACACGTTTTCTCATTCTTTGTTGTCAAATAAAAAGTTTTCCCACAAAATTTGGTGTAACCATTTTATGCGTCCATGTTTAAAATGCAGCCTTGAACAAGTTGCACCAATAAAACCGGATTTTGCAATTATTTCGGGGAAATTTGCTAATATGATTAGACTATATGTTAGATGAACGCCTACATTGGAAATATACATTTATGAGATTGGTTTAGCGGTGCGCCTGTAGCCTGTCCATAAAATGCGACGAACGATGCTTAAAGACAATACCAGACGTCTCGCATTTCTTCCCGCGTGTTTCTATTTATGTTGCTATATTGGAATTCGTTTAAGTCACAGAGCTTCTGCACTACACGTGAATATGTACAGCCCTGTATTCCTGTTCTTGTTTCGTACAAACATACATTATCAAAATAATTACAATCTGACATATATAGTGTTTTCCAAAGATTTCAAACATTTTTACATGCGATCAACACCGATTCGAAAACTGAAAAATCAACAACTATGCCGTAAATCTAAGTTCGACAACGAAAGTCTGAAGAATAACTGTAAGATCTATATTGAATTTAAAAAATAATTTACTGTACCTATTGATATTTTTATCACCTGCTTGATTGTGTCAGTATTTGCACAAATTACTTGATTTGTTTAACGGGTAGTTCAGAGTATTAGGCCCGTATCGTCAGTCGACCCTACAATTGTAGGGCGCGTTTATGGCTTCCTTGATTGTCATACTCCTTTCTCTCCTTCAAAAATTTCTAGATTACACTTGTCCCGTGTCAGCGTCAGTGCTCTCCTATTGTGAAAATATGTTTTCTTTTTAAATTGTAGGAAATTTCAGGCTGATAAAACATGATATAACTCAAAAGCTAGCACAATTTGATGCAAATAGATGTTTGTGACATAACCTCAAAATAGAGCGCTGACACGGAGAAGTAGAAAAACTATGATAATCAAGGAGGCCTTAAAGACGCCCTACAATTGTAGGGACGACTGACGATACGGGCCTTAATCCTTAAGCTTAGTACACACTAGTGGACCTTGTGGCACAATTTGTCTATAGGCAGTCTGAAGACGGTCTCAAGGCACGATCTATAGATTATATATAGACATCCTTCTTTGTCTCGTCTAGCGTCCATACGATAATGTGAATTTTTCGGTCTCATGTTCGTCTTCGCCATCAAAGGCATTGTTTTGTGTGGAATGGCTGGGATAAATCTCGGGGACTCTCAAAATGTCCTTTTTGGTTATCAGAGCAATGAAGTTTTTTATGTTTTAATCTTTAATATTATTACACTAGTCAATTATAAATGCTACGTAATTCTTTTGTTCTCATATAATAAAATATTGCCTTTCTGAGGATTTCTGAGCACTTTAAATATTTTTTTCCAAGTTGGCATTGAACAAATAGAATACAATGGATTTAAGGAGCAACAATAAGATAAATTCTAGAAGTTCCACTGAGGTAGAAAAATTACCAGCCCCAAAGATCGTTTGCGCCCCCCTCCCCTAGACGAAATCCTGGATCCGCCTTTGAACACAGGAACGTTATTCTATGTGAACAAAATGGTGAAGTTTAGATTAATATGGGGCAAATATTCCCCATATTTTAAGAATGTTTTGGTCTTATATTGTTCGCTGCATATCCCTTGGTTAAATGCAGCTCATTCAGCCAGTGGAAGATTGGATTCTTGCATTACTAGCTCAATGAGCCATATTCTTGTATCTGGTTTATATAGTAGGTCCCCAAAAACCGGGGTAATGAGATTGATGAATGAGTACCTATGGTTTAACGTATACTTCAAGATGGCGGTCTGGGCGTTGTTTTGGAATATTCTTTTAAATGGAATGGGGGTCCTGTGGTGTCTCATTTTAAGGCTCTTTATGAGTACTTCAAAATGCCAGAAAACCAAATCACCAGCTTTGAAAATTGCGAGCTGGCAGGCTGTCAAAGTTGAATTGAGTTTGTACATCAAGTCGCTTGTAGCTCAACAACCAGTCATCAAAACGCTATAGTATGCTATGTCAATCTTCTTTTCTTGGAAGGGTCTATCCGAATATGTAGTAAGATATGAAACATCCAATTTAAAAAAAAACAATGTCTAACACTTCTTTTTGAACTGAATGTCTCACATTTTACTGTACATCGAGTTTGACTCCTACCAATGCGGTATTCTGAGAAATATTGATTTGATAACCGACTGCTGTGAAGTGCTCATAAAGAGCTTTAAAATAATGTGAGAAGACCCCCATTCCATCCAAATAAATGTTAGAAGGTGACGCTCAGCTGCCCATAGGTTGAATCTGTTACTTTCACGTTAAAATTCATGAGTCAATTTTATATTTCCGAACTTCAGCTTACTAGGTTGCCCCGCTTAAAAAATAAATATAAAGCAGAGTATACATTTTAATATGCCTCGGTTAGCTGCCACTATTCGTTCATTTTTACATTGTACCTGGAAAGTAAATATTTTTGTATAGTTTTTAGCAATTATAGCTTAATAAAATATCCTTTTAGGTGCTACAGAATAACGAAGAGTTACAAAAGGCAGATTTGAATGCTGAATATACTTTGGGTAAGTTACGGAAATACATTTTAGAGAAAATGCTTAAAAATGACCCTCAGATCCACAAAAAAGTAAAACATGGTCTGTATACTGTGTATCATATTTTTCTATGTTTTCCCCCTGAATACGAATCTGAAGTCAAAATTTCGGAAAGTTGAACAAATATAAAAGTAATTTAAAGTCAAGCTTTTTGGTATTTTTTGGTGGATGTGCACATGTCAGAGAACCCCGAAGAGATGCACATTCACCATAATTGCGAACATGTTAATGCCTGAATGCCTAAATTACTTTCTTATTTGCCCACCGACCGTCAGTTTTAACTTCCGATTCATGTCCATTGTGTACATGGGAGAAACATAGTGGGACCCCAAACACACACCATTTTTTATTTTGTGGGCCTGTTTTGCTTGTTATATTTAAAAATAGGTGAGGTATTCATGAATGCAGCAGTTCATTATTTACCTAGGGTTTTTTCGTTATTACTATTATTACCTGGGGGAAATAAATGTAGTTTCTCCTTAAAGGAGTCTGGTAAATCATGGCGGTCTCTCAGGTGACGGAAACGCCAGTAAAGAGATATTTCAAGATATTTGGTGTCATTTAGCAAGAGAAACATGGAGCTCCATAAGCATATTTGCTAGCTTGAAAGAATGGTCATTTCAAAGAGAAGTGCTGGAGCAGATACAAATTTTGACGGTCATCTTGTTATATAGATTTCTTAAACTTTCATTGAACCCCGGGATGGTAACAGATCTGTATATCATGCAACTGGTCCAGAAGCGAGTTCGGCTGCAAGCTACTTTCCTTTTTCTTAATTTAAGGTGTATATTTCTTCCAAAGGAACATGTTTCTTGAATCAGTGGTGCCAAAATTACATGAAAATATTATGAAAAGGTGACCAGCTCAGGTGGATTTGACTTCAGAAGACACTATAGACTGTAAACCAGATCTATCCTATATTTCTGTATTCCTTATGCGAATTAGACTAAAAACATGTCCATTTCTATCGATATGTACCCACTTGAAATCTGAACATAATAAGTCTGTATTCGTTGCAGGGATATTTGCCAATGGCCACCTGAAAATGGATTTCGAAAGAGACAAAGGACCGAAAGGAATGCCGTCTCTGCTCAATATGACTGAAACGGCTATAAAGCTCTTGAGCTCACATAAAAATGGTTACGTTTTGATGGTAAGTCTGCAAAACCAATTTGGAGATTATGCGGCAGTCAGTTTATCTGTATCCCGTAGAGCTTTGACTATAGCTTTAAATCTTTGTTAGGTATTTCATAATTGAGAGTCAACGGACATCGAACTTTCTCTCAATAATGAGCTGAAGCAAGGACACAATATCGGTGCACGTTATACTCATGCATACTAAGTACCCTGAAAGTTTTGATTATCCTTCTATAAACAACTGCTCTGTAAATAACAAAGCTAATGGTGAAATAACATCAAAAAAGTTAAATGAAAATCAAGAAAAGTACTTATCGTTAATTTGAGCAACTTTTCGTGCATCGTCCTGTTGTTCGAAGCTGTCACTTTTCGATTCAAAAATACACAGACGGCTTGTTAACTGCTTACTTAATTTGCAATATTTGGGTCTGTCTAGGTTTTCTACGTTGCCCATGTCAACATTGTTGCAAACGGCCTGTGTTCCAAGCCCTTTCTGTAAGATACGAGACGCTTGCGAGACGGAAACATTCATTATTGAATCTCATACACAATCACTCGTGAGGCATCATTAGCCAAAATTGGAAAACGCCTTCTGTAAACTGACATATCAGCGAGTTGGTTATGGCTATAAGAATGCGCTCTTTCCAGACTTTTCAAATCCGATCCATAAACAAGATTTTCTGTCACAGAAAATGATGCCATGGTTGGAAACTAACACACGTCGTATGCTTTTAGCTATGTTTTTACGGAAAGTATCTGATATCGCAGATTTAATCGGAACCTAGTTTCTTATAACTTTGGTATGTGCATTAGGAAAATTTTCTTGTTTCCACACTACAATACGCCGCACAGTGACCTTTTCTCAGCGAAAACATGGTCAAAAACAGAGGTAATGAAAATGAATTATATTTATTGCCTATTTCATATATCCAATCATTTATACGATAGCAGTGGAAACTTTGCTTACGCTACTTTTACAATGATTAACTAGTAAACATGAAGTTTGAGGTGAATCATTCATTCGAATTTTCAATATCTGCATATGTTTCACGATTAAGTGGGTCGTGCGGATTCCTATTTTTCCTTCACCTTTTTGATATTTTTATTATGAAAGGTTTTTTAATATTGTTCCATCCTTTACCCGGTTAGTCATTAATGAACTTTTACAAACTGTAGAAATATAACCTTATTATGACAAGTGATCTGATTCGATTATTCAACCTTTTCTGAAGTTGGATTGTTTATTGTGTTCTTTGAGTGGAGTTGAAAATATTGTTAGAATGCCTCTATAAGAATGAACTGATGATGTATTGTCAAAGTCATTTTTAATTATAATTGAAATCACCGTGAAATGATCTTCAAATCTCATAATGATTAATTGGCCCCTAATTCTGATTCAGTAACAACAAAATTTCAAATGACATATAGCTGAGTGTTACTGCTCGGTTTCTTTTTAAAGTGCCCTCGAAATCACCTTAAAATCACCTTCATTTGTTCTAATAGAGACAAAATAACTGCGGATTTGGAATTAGCAATCCAGAAAAACCTTCGTACTGAAATTGTATTTTTGTCTGCGTTTCGTTGATTTGGACCACTGTGCGCCGTGTAAAGTTCCAACCTTCAGAAGACTCGGTACATGATGGAATAGCCTTAGCTCATCGCGAAGAGAAGCCTCATGGTTTGGAATGTCTTAGCTGTATATAAACGTATTCATCGGAAATATGTAATATGTATATATAATCATTCAGGTAGAAGGAGGTATGATAGATTTTGCACATCACCGAGGTCATGCTAGAAAGGCATTGGATGAAACAGTTGCTTTTAGTGATGCCATTGCTAGAGCATTGGAAGTAACTGACCCTAAAGAAACTCTTATCATAGTGACCAGTGACCATTCGCACTCTATGGTTTTCTCTGGATATCCTGACAGAGGGACTAATGTTTTATGTAAGTATGAAGTACTATACGTAAATGTTTTTGAAATTAGTAAAATCTAGGTATCCATATTCTGTTTTGTCAATTTGTCTGCTAACGTCTGATAACTCTGGAGGCCAGGCAGCAGCGGTGGCGTAGTGGTGGTATGATAATTTTTCTCTTGGCTATGATTGTCCGTAGGTTGTAGACGGTCTCTGACTGTCGAACGGGGATGTATCTCTTAGGTAGGGCCAGCATGTCTGCACGTCACATACGTGTTCCCTCTCCTCTGAATCCCCTATAGCCTCACGGTACCCATGAGAATGTTTAGGCCTTAGGCTCAAGTATACAGGGTGTTTCAGTTTATTGTTGCATAACTTTAAGATTCGATAGAACTTTTAAAATTAATGCATAAAGTCTATATAAACATGGGTCGAAAAATGCGTGGCTTCCGAAATACAGAGTGTTTAAATTTACTTTCTAAATAGTTTTTTTTAAATACTTCGAACAATATTTGATGTATAACAGTGAAAATTGGTATACAAGGGTTTTTTGGTACGACAAAACGAACCATGGGCATAGTTTTACTGTAGCCGCTAGAGGGCGCTCTCTACTGTACCTGAAGTGTATTAAAATGACCGAACATTTTTTCTTAGTGCAATTTTTTGCTTTCTGAATAAAAAAAAAATGATTCTTCGCACTTTTCAACATAAAAAACCTCTCTTGTGAATTTTCGTTATAGTTAGCTGTTTTTGAGATATTTCGATTTTTAAGGTTCGATGCATTTTTAATTATTTATGATAAAATAACGTTAAAAAGTCAGTATCTCGATAATTTTTGAAGTAGGCTGTGCCTGCAAATATCTTTGAAATTGAAAGCAGAATAAGGTTAAACGTCAATTAGTTGACAGTTAGTTTTGTTGTCTGTTGAAACCTGAAACGTTTTTTGCAATTGTGAATGCACGAAATTTAGTTTCTTTTACGAAATTTTATAAAAATGCCATTTTTATTCTCCAATCAAGAGTTAGCGGATATTCATTTTGTGTATGGCTTTGTAAATGGAAACGCAGCAGAAGCAGCCAGAGAATACGCACGAAGATTTCCAAACAGACGACATCCAACTCATTCAGTATTTGTAAGAGTGCATCGCTAAATAATTGAAAATGGTTTTGTAAATCTCCAAAGGGATCAAATTATAAAAACAAATTTGAGAGAAAGCAAAACTGGGCGCCGGTGGGATCCAAACTCGCATGTGGAGGACCATCCGTGGAGCCGGTTTAATCAATTATTCGTCTAAAGTACCAGCTGACAAGCAGCTTTCAAGATCGACTGTTAGAGGCAACTTTAGTCCTACCCATTCCACTATATTCCTTGTTCTGTTATTTTTTTCGTCATAACCATATTTTTAATATATCAACACAACCTTTCACTAGCAATATTTGTTAGCCTACTCTTTTATTTGGTCGTCGAATTAGTTAAATATTTCTTAACCTCACCACTAAGAAGGTTGCGTTGCTCGTTATTGGAATGAATGATTTTTTAATTCAGCTTATACAGAATCAGCAATGGATAAGGAGCCGTTCACGTCTCTTCTTTATGGCACTGGTGGTCCAAACAACTACCAATTCACTGTTGAAAATAATACTGCCAAACGGATAGATCCATCCAAGAATGATACAACCGATTTCGAGTACTCCCAACAAGCCGTAGTGCTGACAGATGAAGTTACACATAGTGGCACTGACGTTTTAGTCTACGCTAATGGTAAGTCTATCATAGGCTACAGTAAGACCCGGGTTTTCAATGTCTGGTTAACTTTCAATTCAGGTAACTATGACTGGGAAGTTAACTGTCAGTTGTATGTCAATTCGTTTTTCCAGATGTAGTTAACAATGAGTACATCGTACATGTGGTTTGACCACAACTTAACAGTTATCCCATACCAAAGTTGCTTTCCAGTGACACTGTTGAGTTACACTGAGTAACTTGGAGTTACTCAGTAGTGCTCTGCACCAATACTGTTCCACTGCACGTTGAATTCTCATGCATTGTTTCTGGAGCAGTTCTGGATCGTATCACTCTGAAGCCAAAAACCACTCGAAAGCAGCTATGGTCCGCTGGTTGAAGTTGACTACCACTAACTTGATATTGAGAAATTCTTTTTGAAAGTCAACTTTTGGTTAGCAGCTAACGTACGATTGAAAAGCCGGGCCCTAGTGGATATTTTTGATGAATTGAGATAAATAACTCGCGTTCCAATCTGCGACATCCGCAACGAACTGACTAATAATCTTCCAGCAGAAGTATTCAGACTAAATTTTACACTGCCATTATAATTTTCAATTAAATCAGATATCGGAATTATCGTTGTCGATCAGGCTCCAGTTTCTTCCTACATAGCTAAGAGGCTACTAGAGCATGCGAAGGATGGAAGACCGGCACGGCTATTATGTAAAAAGCCAAAAAAACATAAAAAAACCGACGAAATGCAGACTAGGTAGTTTTTAGTGTGCAAATAATTCATTCTTCGTTTGCCTGCTATGCCCGCTGTTCGCTGACGTTTAAGCAAAGCTCACAGCTGAAAAATGAATTCACAACAAGTGTACAGGAGCTTGTGCTAATCTTCTAGAAAAACCTACGTTATGTCACAAAAAACCTACGCAATGTCAAAAAACGACGAAGTGTCACTTTTTAAGATACGTACTACCCGTAAGGATTTCAACAAAGATCACAGGCACATGAAGTTAGGAGTATCTGAGATTTTAATAGCCTTTTTCTCTTTGTTTGCCACATTTGTTTTATGCTGCAGCTGGTTCGACCGCCTCGGAATCCGTTGACATGACTGAGGCTTTGAGTCACAGTTTACTTAGAAGATTCTTATTATCTTTAGTTACCCTTTCATCAGAGAATAGTTCTTTCCATAAATATTTTTGAGTAATAGTGGTGCCTACAGCTGAAAACGATTAATGAGCGCATTGTGAGCAAAAATATAGTTAACATTGAAACAATGTTTGTCGTAAATGGAACTCCTGAGACTTGTCCTGTGATTTTCATGCTCTATTATCTGGCCGAATCAATCATTGTTGATTGTAATTGAAAAAGACCACAGCGGTGTTCGAAACGTCGTACAATAATTAAGAATGTAAACATATGTATATGTGGTTTTGATTCTGCCAAACAAAATAGTCCTACAATTTTTATCGTATCTTTTATACAATAGATAATGCTAAAAGGCGAGATTTCTGTCGCAGGGGGATGGTAATTCGGTTGTACTCTGAAATTTGCAAATTAAGCACGATTTTATGTACAATTAAGTGAATTTTCAGAATTCCTCTCCTGAAAAAATCAAAAACTTTAAGCTCTTTGAAAACTTTTGGATGCGAGTACACTTTTACTAAAAGTTGTCTCTTACAGATGATTCCTACCCTAAGAAAAATTTCTAGGGACGCCCATAGTTGGCGTTGCCGTTCTATTACTTCTGTAAACACAAAACCATTTTTAGTCAACTTTGCAACGATTTCTTTTTTTGTGATACTTAGCCTGTGCTGGCCTGCGGCCTCTTGGGATAAAACTTTTATTGGAAGAGAATTGTGCTTTTGTTTAGTTTTTCAATAAATTGGCCTGGTATTGCGCATAGCTATGCATTTATTTGAATTCATGAATATTTATCGAACACAGCATTTTGTTTTTTTCTGCAAGCATAGCATTTCATCAGCAGATGATGCAGATCCATCAACTTCATTATTGCGTTTGTTCATGATAGGAACAGCAATTCAGTTCCACACAGTTCCCTGTAAATAATGTGGGTGTTTCATAGCTTATAATTCTTGCAGGATGTACTACTATTTTCCTCTGACTTAAACTGAATAAAAAACACACTTTCCTTATTCAGGCTGTTACTTCATAGGATAGGGTAGTTCATGCATCGGAGATGAAGGGTATGTTTCTAAAATATTAACACTTGTGCAGGGTGTCCTAACTTTGGCCCATATATCATAAAGTTATAATTGTTTAGTTGTAATACCTCAATTTCATATTCGGAAGAACCAGTTCAAAAGAAGAAGATTGATATAACATAACATAGGGTTTAGGTAAATAGTTAGTTGCTGTGCTAATAAAATGTGTCGTCTAGAAAAACTCCCAGCTTTGGCAGCCGGTCATCTTGCCATTTTAAGAGACTTAGCGCTAACTTTTCCACCAAAAAACTTACACAGCTAAGCTTTTCTTGCTATAACGGTCGATCAGGATTGAATCACTGGTTATAGAGTTATTAAGCTTTGAATAGCGGTAGCATATAGACAAACAGTGGGCTAGTTTCCTATTGCTACTAAGGTAACAGTTAACGTAAAGACTTATCACAATCAAAACAACATACATTGATTTCAGAATATCTATGATGACCATTTCATTTAACTTACAAACATGAAACCAACAGCATAAACAAATACTATTGCTACTCAGATCTAAACTATAGACACTGTTAGAAAATATACCCTCCACGTCGGATAATACACAGCTGAAATATTTCGATAAATCGCATCCTTCAGCATATCTTCCCTTATGTCCTCAAAAGCGTCCTCTATGTTCTCCTCCACATCTTCCGGTGTTGACGGTGGGACCTTATAAACTTGCTTTACGTAGCCCCATAAAAAGAAAGCCATAGGGGTAAGATGTGGTTGCCTAGGAGACCAAGATGTAGTACAGGTCCAAATCGTAACGCACGCGATCTTCTTGATTGATATTCTCTTTACGTATTACCAGCAGCAAAATAATAATTTCGACAAGAAAATCAAGATACGGACGAAAACAGTATCCCCACTTCGCCCTGTCCCAGAGTTACTCATTTTGGAGTTTGCTTGTTTTCTTCCAGAACCATCGGCTCAATCTTGTTTATTTGTTAGGTTCAGAAGGTCGTTTAAGCAAGTTGAATGCCTTGAAAATCCGTTGATACAGGCAACATATATCTTGGAAAACCAATCTTTCTCTGGTAGCCAAAAAAATATGTCTATATATTATATTTTTTCGCAATGGCGATTCATTGCTTGAATGTCAAAGAGCAAATTCGCTTTGCCCGGGTTTTCTCTACCACTGTTCCTTGAAAAGCGCTATGGAAAAAACTCTTCTTTGATAAAAAGGTAACTAAGGAAAGAAGTATTCTCTCAAAGTAAATTCTGAAGGAGAGCTTTATTAATTTCAAGGATTTAATGCGGTAATACGGTATCTAATTCAAACCAGTTTCTTAAGAGCGGATGCAGCATCTGTAGCAAAAAATGGCAAAAGGCTAGTAAAATCTCAGCTACTGCCAGCTTCATACTCCTACAATTTTGAAAACTGTTGAAATAGGAAGTGTAAATATACTCAGTGACATTAGAAGTGTTACACCCAGAAAAAATAATTTCTTCAACTTGGATTTTGGCATCTTGTATAATTAAAGCATGCTGTGGCAACAATGTCAACGTTTTATCTTTGTTTTTATTTACTTTTGTTAAAATGATTGTTATCTCTTAGTTTTTAGTTATTGACCTTTTATTTACTAGTGTTAAACATAACAAAATGACTCGAGTTTGAAGACGTCCATATTATTACCATGTTAGCGACATTTTGTCGATGCCTAGACGTATACAGGAGTGTATTCAGCTGCGGGGATTAATTTTTTTCTTATCACGGGAGAATGCTATCGTGCCATTCTTGATGTAAGACTACCTCATTGCAAAAAAATGAACAAATTATTTTTTCTGGATGTAGCTCTTTTAGTGTCACTGAATATATATAGAAGGGATGTTTATGAAAAATGATATCTTATACTTTCAAAATTGTATTTTGTTTGATTTTGAATATCTGGTTGTATTTAGATACATAGGAATTTTCTTGAATATTTAGTATTTTCATATCGTATTCAAGCATTCGTCATCCATGTGGCTATCAATGTCGGATTAGCTGATATGGTGCTCTTATATTTGATGTGAGTAAGTCTGGAAAAAGTCTTGTTTCAATTTTTCAGGTCCAATGGCACATCTATTCACGTCTGTCCACGAGCAAAGCTACGTAGCTTACGTTATCAGTTACGCAGCTAGAATCGGTCCACATAGAGATGGTCTTGGAAACGGAACAACCAGCTTGTCAGTAAATATGCTTTCCATGATAGTTCTAATTACTATTCCAATAATAAAGTATTACACCTCCTAAGCAACTGATTGTGAATTTAATGATTACCTTTGTAACGCTTCCTTTCCGCAAAAAGTCCAGAAAAGATGGAATGCAATGAAGATTCCAACTTTTCTGCACAATCACAGAAAGGGGGTTACCATTAGCTTCCGGTAGCTCAGTCGGTGGCATGAAGACATCTACAGGCGTGTAGCTGTGTGTCGACCATGGCATGGCTAGAGGATAGAAGAACAAACAGAACACAAAAATTTAACAGATTTTATTTAACAAAAAAAGCATTTTCATTACATTACAATTTTACAGTTTTAAAGAACAAAATAAGTTTTACATCTTTGGCGCTGCTATAAAACTATCAACTTATCTTTCGCTGGTCCATTTTGACTCGACTGAAGCGAGGATGGCCAGGTGCTTGAAGTGGAGGTCCCAGTTATGAGGGGTGACCTCACATATAGTGGCTTCATAACCAGTTGTAGGCGAAGTTGAACTTAAATGTGATGGCGCTGCCAAGGCACATGCATGGGTGAAGTGATAGGCCAAGCAACGCAAAGTCAAAGACTAAGGCAAAGGGAAAGGGAAAGAGAAAGGGGGGGTGGCCCCAATCTGAAAAAGAACCGTGTGCATTAGCAACGTGCCCTAATGGCCAAGGCATTTCCAATCTCAGTCTGCCTCAAAAGAGAACCAACGATTTTCTAGGTTAGAATTACATTACATAGTTTGATAAAATCAAACCGAAAATTGGAAATGCCTTTCATAAAATAAAATCATGAAATAGCAAAAAAAAGCGTAAAACAAGATGGTGGTCATCAAAAATTTCTCCACATGCTTCTAATATAAAAACACAAATATCGAATATTCATAATCAACGTACTTATAATTTCACTGAACTATGAATATATATACACACACAGAGGTAAAATCGATGTGGATCGATTTCCACCTCGATTTGATTAAAGTTATGGCGAATGATCGAAGTAGTCGAAAATGACGTTCGATGGATATTTTAAAATCGTACAAGAAATAAACCACTTACATATCGATTATCTATAAACTACAGGCAGATCCAGCAATAAAACTGTATAGTATTATAAAACTCACCATTTTGTCCTATACGGACACACATTCTACAAAATTCTAGCACATGGTGCTATATGACCTTGTGCTACAGAGAAGAAAATTCTTAGCTCTTGTTCGATCGGCGGCTCAAGTGAAAAGGAAGCGCGAGGAAGATCGCAGATCAGGAACTCCGCATCAAGCGCTCCAAGCGGAAATTTTTCCAAGTAAAAAAGCTAGAGATGGGATTAATGAGATGATAGTGATTTAATAAATACGATCGGACGGTGAAACCGTTACACCTTCCAATCCAGAAATCACCCCACTTGAGAATCGGGCAAAAATAACATTTGTAAAACAGTTTTTGATGGATGTGTATGATACTGTTTGAGGAATTGTGCAATTCCGTTGTTTAAAGTTTCTAAGTGTGTAATATTTGACAGATAATTCATTTAAGTTCATGAGTACCTAATTTACTACGAGGGTAGTACTTAAGAGTCCACATCGCGACTATCGATGCTACTCATTTCTATCTGTCTGCTTTTGTAATTGTTTGCTCAGAAAATTGATGCGCAATTTAGTACAAATTAATGTTTTGAATTTAGATTGATTAGCCGGAGGTTATGTCCGGTGGTAGAAGTTTCAATAGATTTCAAATCTGGAATCTGAACTCCAGCAGTATTCATATTACTGTGATCAAAGCTAGAATATAGTTGTGAATCCTCTGCAAAAAATTAAATATTGCAGTATTTTACAATACAATAGTGTACTGAGCGTTGTGGTATTTCCGAGAAAATCAAACATTCCGGAGAAGAGTCTGTGACAGTACAAACTCTCTGAGACCTATTTCTGAAAAAGCTACTTATCAATTACAGAAGAATTACAGAAACCTTAATATGTGCATTTAGCTATCAAAAAATGCCTAGATGAAATCTAAAAGAACTAAAGGTGGTTCACGGTTCCAGGTTTCAACAATGTTGTCGGGTAGGTCCAATAATGTTCCAGTGGTTTTCTAAAACCACATAGTTTATCTGGTAATATATTAGCTTCCAAAGCAAAATCATTGAATTGGATTGCTTTCTCTAATAATTTTGAGAGAAAAAGTAAAATACTTGTAGGTCTCAAATCTGCATATGCGGTTAGATCGTTAGATTTTGATAAGGGTAACATGAGAGCGTCTTTCCACGAATTTATAAACACACATTTTCCTAAACAGGTATTTACTATATGTAGATGGATATAACCGGAAAATATAACTTAACTATTCTAAGGGATACACTATTAGTTCCTACAGCATTTGATTTCAATTAATGCAACATTGAAGATGAGTCTTCATAGCAGATGTGCTTAAAATTAAACTCACGTTCAGAAAAACGTTTTTGTTTAAATGCTCAATTGTATGCTTCGAAAATCGAACAAAAGTAATTGTTTACTTAGCTCAGCTATATCTTTAAGTACAACTTAAGCTTTAAGTGTAGCTGGTGCAACAAAAACATAGAAGGTTGAGCTTAGCTTAAAGTTGACCTTAGGAAGACGGTGCAACTGGGTATTATTTCTACTACTTCTTGTTAGTCAGGATCAGAGACGTCAATACGTGGGACGTAAACATGCCCAACACAATTTTATGTGAGTGATAATTTTCGCATTAAATTCCCTCTCGCTTAAGCTTCCAGAGCGAAAATACATATATTTCTGTAAGTGCGGTAAGTGAAGAAATATTTCCCGACATTTATATTTCTTGCGCGGGGCGGTAAAGAGCGAAAATCATATATCTTATTATAAGGGGATTAGAGTTGGTACTCCGAGCACGGTTGCCGTTTATTTCTCTCTATTTGCGGAGTATCATATCAACATTACATAAGAAAAATATACGTCGGCTGAGGGTATCAGTTTAATATATGTTATATTAACCAAAACAAATACCAGTAATAAAGTTGACTTTTTCCATATCCCAGTATCAGCAAAGTCAAGAAACTGCAATGAACGTTGAACACATTGAAGGCTGGTTCTATGTAAATAGATGAATGAGCCTTAAACAAAGAAAAAACCAACTCACATACCTCTCACTAAAATGTCATGGTAACAACCAGAACATTTCTGTAAAATCTATTGGCTTCTATTTGGATATCACCGCGGTACACACAAGTATTTAGACTTTAGGCCTTCGTGATGGATCTAGTATAAAAACTTGCTCAGGGACACTCTTCACATGCTTCAAGAAAATGTATGAGAGTCATAGTGGCACTAGGGTATTCGCATTGGTTCAGTACCATACGAAATAAGTAAACAGATTAACTGACTGTACCCGTGTACCATATTTGTATCCTAGCTTGCACACTTATCAAGCTGATCCTTAACAAAGCTCTTACTTGCTCTTAAGCACACACACACATGGATTGGGTGATAGAAAAACCGTTAGTTTCAATCACGTTCCGAAAATAATTCAACCAATTAAACACAAACTGTCGACATGATAGTATAGCCATTGCTATGCTTTATATCCAAAATCAACACAAAGTACACCCAATTTTCATGTCAAGCAAGTTCCCATTACTGACAGTGACAAGCAGAAATGTGGAGGACTCATACGTTGACGGGACACATGTATGTGTGAGCAAGACGGACGTATGAAATTAGTTACTGTTGTTTTATTGCGCCGGGCCAAAAACCATGAAAAAGCCTTCAGGTACTTTTTTACACTGAGGCAGCCGCGCAGGCAGAAGCCTAAATGTCAGAGCACCGTGGCTACTATTAGGAGCTTAAAAAAGCTTTGTTATTTCGATTTTTGAACTGCCTAATGTTAATAGAACTGGAAGAAGCCTCCTCACGTACATTGTTCCACAATCTCGAAACCCTAGGGATAAAGGAGCGGTCGCCAGCTCTGGTGAAAATTTAGTGGTTCCATACGGTAGGGTGCGGAGGCCCGGGGATAGGCGTACCTACTGTGGCATTAATTTCTACATCACTCAACTAGAGTCGCTGATGTTAATATAGATTGAACAATTTTGAGAAGCACTACTAAGTTTTTTACAATGTATATGATTTCATTGACAACAGTTTTAGTGATCTGTATCACTGGTATCTTTGTATTTTATCTGCAATTTAAATATATTTATTGTTGTATTTTCGAATTGTTAATACTATTATTGAATACACAGTACCAGTAGATACCATTAAATACTGTTTAGACAATAAACACGTTAAACATGATGTTGATACAAGCTTTTGTCTGGTCTGCGCACTACTGTCTATGGTTGGCCGTCTGTGGTCATACGAACAGAAGCTATGTTACTAGTTTGTTAAATGGTGAGTTGACCGTGTCTACTGTAGGACCAGGATCGATGACACCTAGCGGCCACAGTGGTGGCTGAACAGCAATGCGAACTGAAATACATTTCCAACAGTAGGCTTGCTGTTTTTACTTCGGCAGTGGTCGATTCTGGTAACAGATGACATTTTGTGCTTTTGTCTTATTTCGAGAAAGATCATACTATCAATAGAGCAGTGTTGCTTAGCTTTCATTCGTTGTCCACCGGGACCAAGCCTACACCATGCTGAGGAGGTGCCAAATAAGACGAAACAGCTGTCCATGGTTGGCCGTTTGTGGTAGGACGACCAACGAACTAAATATCGTTTATTGCCTTCAGAATATCAGACATGGACTTTTTTACTTGGTGTTTTATTATCTTCTCACTGAGTATATCAATTTATTTTCTGACAACTGTGTGAACTGGGCAAGCTACTAGATATGATCGATAAAATATACACGATAAATGGATAACTGAAGCTAAACAATACAAGGACGTTCTGAGGTAACAAGGCATAATTAATTGCTCTTTGGGGATAATCCAAGCTGAATTGAGTCTGTGAGAACCAATAAATTATCGATACCTTAGTGAAACCGGCGGTATTGTCACTAGGCTACATGATATACTGTATAAGTTTACTACTGACATTTGAATACACAAAAAAACA